CGAGATTGGATAGCCGCTTAGCATATTGGTAATACAGACGACTTTAGGATCTGCAATTTGTTTATTTCAAATTTAACATTTTATATCTTCTAAACGAATTGATCGAATTTAAAAAAATTAAAACAGAAATGTAGAGAAATGTAGAGAAAGACTTTTCTAATGATGTATCATTTGACTCACTTTCCCATTTGAAATTTTTTAAAGATTTTTTGATACACCCCCGTGCGCGTGCTCGATAAAAAATTTCTTATTTAAAACGAATATTTTCTTTAGATTCATTATTTGCATATGTGTCATGGCATTTGTGTAAACGTACGCGGTAATAATAAACACGGTATTAATGCTTTTGCAAATTGCAGACTTATAAAGTCTGTTTCTACTGTCGTATATTTAATTAAAAATTGCCGCAAGTGTTTCAAAGTGAAAGAAAATAAAAGAAAATATCTAAATGAATAATACTAAAAGTAACAAATGCTTTTATGCACGTTAATATTAAGGTAATGCTACTCGATTTCGAATATCGAAACGGATAAATGTAACACTCGCAAAACTAGAGACCCAGATAATATTATGTTCAAAAATCGAAGATATCTTAAAGATTGCTTTAAAAGACATCTTATAATATGTCTTAAAGCAATTTTTAAAATCGTTTTATGTTCGCATTTTGAATGTAATGTAATCTGAATATATAATATTAAAATGAGAAATTGTTGTGAAAAAATTAATGTAAATTCAATCAATTTCAACATAGCTTTATTCATGATTGAGACTCCTCGTGGTTACAATCGATTGTTTAGTACGTGTCGGCAATAATTCAGGACTAGTCATGAGATACACAATGATGTTTAAAGACTGTAACGCAAGAGCAGAGGATTGTTAAATTTCTTATAGCACTCGGGATTCCTGAAGTCTCTAGGTAGGAGCTTCCAGACCCGTCCACCGTGGTGGAGTAAAGAGGCACGTATTTTCGGTCTTAGGAAACTGAACGTGATTGGGCTAGTGGTATCGAGTACGCGGCCAAACAGAATCGATTTGTTCTTCAGGGTGACCGAAATGATGTCGCCCGGTAATAGGTAGTCATAACCGAGAGCGCTAACTATCTGTTCTCTGGGCAGGACGATGTTGAAGCCACCCGAGGAAATGGCAGAGCTGCTAGCCACGGCAGCCGAGGAGGTCGATGCGGCGGCAGATGTGGCAGCTGATGCGGCAGCTGATGCGGCGGCTGATGAGGCGGCAGCCGATGACGGAACCACGACGGGTAAGACTCGCGAACGAATCAGTGGATATTTGATTCTGCGATCAATGTCCAGATCAAGGCCACGATATGTAGACGGTCCGAGGACGGTGCGATCGCCTCCCGTGGAAGCGGACGCGCTTGCAGCTGCAGCCACGGTCGCTGCCGCGGGTGCAACAGTGGACAGGCTCGGTCTATATTTGCGCAACGGCAGGGTGAATGGCACTCGTCCAGCAACAGGGGTCGAGAGGACGTTTGCCGCTGAGGAAGCAGCCGCAGCGGAGGCGGTTACCACGTTGTCCTCCAAAATGCTGGGCACGACTTCCGGTTGAATTAGAGACGCAGTTGGATAGCCTGATACTATCGGTGATTCCATTATCGTCGGTTCAGCGGAAAATACCGGCTGCGTCTCGGCGACGGTGGCGGTAGCGGTGGCGGTAGCGGATGCCGAGGAGCTCGCAATTTCAGTCCCGATAGGAACGACGGGTGCTATCGGTTTTATCACTGGGCTTACTACTGGGACACTACCAATAGCAACAGAGCTCGACGCGCTAGACGCGCTGGACGTCGTCACTGTGGTGCTCTGTTCAATCGGTCCGTATCCAAAATTACCACAGAGGGGTATTCTTGACAAGTATGAGCCGATTCTGGAGAACGCCGAGGGTAAAGCGATGCCTCTTACACCAGTTCTAATTAGATGAGGTAGTCCAGACGCATGGTAACCATGGTAGAAGCCGCGGAACGAAGATAGCACTTCCGCCAATGATGTCTGATAATCCGGAACAATGATTGAGCTATCGCCGGTGGTGGCCGCCGCCGCCGCCGCCGCTGCCGCCGTTGTTGCCGCCGCTGTGGACGCCGCAGACGCCGCAGACGCCGCTGTAGACACGATCGGTTCTGTTACTATCTCCTCCAGCGGAAGTACCGAGCTGAATCTTCCCAAATGATGCAAGCTCAAACGTAGATGAGAAAACAAATGCGCGAGGACGTGACGAATGTGTGTGCGGAAGAGATCGATGCCAAAGTGCAGCACTTTGAAGAAGACGTGTTTGAGCCGATGAATGGCACCGATGATGCTCGGGAACGGTACGGCATCTTGAATTATATCGGGCAAAATCAATAGATGATGGGGTTCTTTGATAACGACGTGGAGAAGATGCGAGGTGTGATGAAACAAGTGGCCCAAGATGTTGTCGGAGGCATCCTCAGCTATCAGTGGCCCCAAGCTAAGCCCGGACCTCAAGTTGCGCAAGACAATCAGGCCGTAGTGCCAAAATTTCCTCAGCTCACAGAAGAACTCGTGCACGATCGTACCCGATACGTGGAAGTGACCGTGCGAGAAAGCCTCGACCTCGCAAGAGTGAGCATCCAGATCGACCAGAGGAACGGCATCCCACGGATTCGCTCCAACAAGTCCATTTGATACGGCTGCGGCTGCGGCTGCGGCTGCGGATGCGATCACTTGACGCTTCGGCAAATTACTAAACCTCTCAGATTTCGTAGTATTCTGCGAATAAACGAATTAAAGATAAGGACCTTTAATCATTTAAGCAGCACGTCATTTCTATTTTCAAGTCAAATTTAATAAAAGTTTAACATTTTGAAATATATTATGTGACATTATAATATATATAGTTATAATACCATATAATAATAATCATCATAGATTATTAACTATATATATTTTCTGCCCTTTTTCTCCTTTAGTCTTCTTTCTCCATTATTTAAATATGAATAAAATAATTTTGCAAGTTTCTCTCAAATGAGGTTTGCTAAATTTAATAAATTATTATTAAATTATTATTAAATTATTATTAAATTATTATTAATTTAATAAATTAATTCTACATTGCACTGCATAGGTATTGTAATAATAATACACTTTACCTCTCGCAATTGTTGCAATCTCTCAGCAATGTCCTCTTCATCCGCAAGAATCAATGCTTGAATGAGATCATGCATACTTCTGTACGAAAATACATCATCCTGAAAGAAGAGAGAATCGAATTTAGTTTTATTTTCATTCTGATACATTATTTCATTCTGACAGTAAATAAATAGTATATTTCAATTATTACCTGAGCGTCTTCTTCTTCTTCTACAATATTGTTGTTTGTTTTAGGCTCGATATTCAATTTCTCCTGCTCCTTGCTGTTTTTAACATCCTTTGCCTCTTCTCCGAGCGTTCTTCTCTCATAGATGGATTTTGGCTCCAACGATTCTTCTTCTAATTCCAAAGGATTATTATTTTTTAGATGGAATACTTCGGCTTCCTTCTCTCTCTTTTCCCGAAGAAATGGTCGCAGTTCATGATCGAAATGCTTCTCAAAGGTATTAGGGATATCTAAGTTGTGCTTGGCGTAAACCGAACTTAGAGATAAAGAGGCCAGAAAGGTGATGGCAAATGCCGCGAGGATATTATTCGTATTCACCATGATAAGTTTCGATGAGAACTCGATGACACTAGCTACAACAGGCTGCTTCATATACTCTCAGGACTATTATCATCGTGTCCAGATTCGGCACGAAGATCGTGATGGAATCAAAAAACACCGAAGATTGTTGGCCGACAACGATCAATTAACCAAGATACGTACTGATGCGCGTGAGATTATCCATGATTTCATCAGCGTCTCGCTTTATAATGGAGCACGATTCATCAACATTATTGCTTGAGAGATTGTTAATATATTTTTTTACGTAACACATATTTGTACAATAATTCTGAATTCTTTTTTTTTCTTGCCAATGATATAAAATATAGCAACGTACTTTCTCTAGATATGAATATTTAATATATTACATAGTATGCACGCGCATACCATGTATTTATATTTGTTACATAATAAATGTAAGTATATATTAATATTTAAATGATAATGATAAATGTTAATTTGCGTTTATATTATACGTATGCAGTGTATTAGAAATTGAAAACAATTTATTTCAGAAGTTTAAGAAAAATTTTTAATCATATGTAATGTAATCATATGTAAATGTTGTAAGTTACGACTTAATATATAAATATATTGATTTATATGTATAAGCAAACTATCAATCGCCAAATTAGGGTCAAATTCGATTAGAAATTGATGACAAATCCGGTAGCATCTGTGTGTCAGCAATAAATTCAGCAATAAGTATTTTGCTAGCAAAGCCTGCATACTTAGACAGCAAATTGACAGAAAAAATCAAGCAAAGCTTTAGTCGGTTTTGCTTTTAATCGTTTTTGTCAATTCATTATCAAATTGTCATAAGCTTTGCATGATTTTGTCGATTTGTTATCATGTTAGGTCAACAGATTTTATTATGCATCTGTCATTAATTTGCTGACATTACAACAGAATATAATAGAATTTGCATTAAATTCTGTTAAATTGCCTTTTTGTCGAAAAAATTTGTGTAGTAAGCATTTGATAAAATTTTTAATGACATAAATTGTAAATAAAGAAGAAAAACTAATAGATCGATGAAAATTTGAATATTTTCCACATAAATTGGCTTAGTTTTTAATATCTCGTATAATATAACATAATTTGGTATATATGTATATATTATACGTACAATATACGTACATATATGTATATGTCACTTATTATTTACTAGTATTTATAAATTTGCTTTACATTTAAATAGAGGAGAAGATGATATTATAGCCAGTGTATGTATTATGATCTTATCTCCGCTATTATATAGCGAATCTTAATGACTTACTTATTATTTATTCAAGCTCGCCGTTATACCATGACGCTAATATACCGCTAATACTCAATAGTCAGCACTTATAATGCATTTTTTACTTTCAAGTATTTCGAAAAACGTTTCTGACGGACTTTTTAGCATTTAATTGCACTTCCTCATTTTTCTTAAACTTGAGCGTATTATCACATGAATATATATATTTTTGAATCTGTTATTTGTATGTGTAATCAAAATGTTATTTGACTATATATATTTTGAGTTAAACAAATTTAAACAATAGACATTTTGCTAATATGGCCCTCTATGGATTGATTACTTATGACCTCTTTTTTAAGGTTTTCATATCAAAATAATTGTTTGATAATTGCTTGTAGTTCTACTGTTAATCTATAGTTTATATTAGGTGTAGTAAAAAGAAATCCATTATTTTTGCATGAAATTGAATGGAAAAATAATGGATTTCTTTTTACTACACCTAATATTATGTGTACTATTTTTAGTACTGAAACTTTTAATACTGAGCAACTTATATATATGCAGAAGTTATGTAAATGTACATTCAAATACATTCATTTATATATATTTTAAAATGTTTTACGTTTTTGTTAATTTTGTAATCAAATACTGTTTTCTAAAGAAAACTAATATTTTATGGCTATTTTTATGTGGAAGGCCACATTACTACCTACTTTTTTCTTCAAGTCATTATGCAATGTCGCCATGCTTTTATTAATAGTATTCTAAATAATAAATATTTCGTAACTTTGAGTCCAGAATCGATTCAACACATTTAAACAAATGTAATTGTCAAGTTTTAAACTTAAGTATTGATTATCAACAAAGTTATTGTAAATAAAATTTAACGACGATGCCATAATACCATCTTCTCCTCTACTATTATCGCTTATTATATTATCTCGCAGAAAAAATCTGATTTATAATCTTGATATTGTATATATGTATGTTGCAAGTATTACAAGCTATAAATAGTGATGTAAGATTAAACAATTTATGTACATATAAGCAAATCCATTTTTATTATAGATAAGGATCAAATTAATGTATTATGCTGACATCATATAATCAATTTTGCTACTATGTCGATTCGGTTCTTTTATTATACTTAATTATACTTTTATCACACATGTCATTAAATTTATAAAATAAAAAAAATTGTATAAAACTTTCTATAGTTATATTTAATTATTTAATTATTTATAAAACTTTGTATAGTTACATTTAATTATTTAATACAATAACGTCAAATAATTACAAACTATAAAGGGAGCATAAGAGTCGAGCACAATAAACAATTTCTATTTAATAATTTTTTTTCTATTACATAATTAAATTATTATTATATTCAGTTACACATAATACAATACAATGTTTCCTTTCTTAAATGTTTTCGGTTCATTTTCGAACCTTTTTCAGAGAATCCGATATGATGAATATTTTGCAACTATTAATTATTCGTTGATGTATGTACAATTACGTTATTTGTATCCGTATATTTTCGATTGTTTCTTAATTTTTGAACAATTGTAGGAGAGTTCCGTTGAAACGCTACTTGATTCCCAGACGATTAATCGACTGAATAAAAACTGGAATGCTATTTTTATTGTGAAATAACCATAAATAAATAAGAGAAATGACTATAATAATTACAATTGTGATGAAAGTTGCTCTCCATAAACATTGGAGATATTATTTTATCTCATGTGTGCATCAGTTAATATGATAAAAAGTAATAAATTAATGATAGATTTTATTCAAATGTTCAAAGTAAAGATATAAATCAGTTGTTCAAAGTTTTAGTAAAAAAATTAAAATAAAATTAAATAATTTATAACACACTACATTCTACAGCTGTCACTGGCTGATGAGTCGAGGATAATATTACAGAGTTAATTTGTCGATAAACAAGTTTTGTGGAGGCTTTCAATATCTATTTGTAAATTTAAACATTTTATTTGTGTTTTATTAATAAATAAATAAAATTTCAGAAATCAATCTTTTCGTATAATGAGGTTCTTCATCTAAAATAATAATAACATTTTCCCCATTCGAATTCATGCACTCTATGATCTGATTATGACTGACCGAGTAGATGTGAATATACATTTATATTAAAATTAATCAAATAAAGCATGAACTTGAAGAAAAAACTATATTTATTATTGTTTGTTAAAAAAAAAAACATTTAAAATTGTTATAATTGTTGTAATATTTAAAGATTTAAAAATATATAAAACATATCTCAACCGTTTTAAGTCAAAAACAAAAGAAGAAATACGTAGAAGATAGGAGAGTAAAAGGATTGTTAAAAATTAAAATTATTTATCTTAAATCTCTCTTTATTTTTTGCTGTCGAATACTATGTATTTCTCACTTGATGAGAGATACCGCGTTATCAGAATTAAATAATTTTATGCCGTATTACAGCAGCTAGATGTCACTTGGCAGGCGGGGATTAAAATTCTGTCGATTTTACTGGTGAGGCCGGTTAAAAGATTAACAGATTGTGGCGTTGGCACTCTGAAATAAAAATGTTAATTGTTGATAAAATGTTTTTCAGTGAAAATAATCTGAATTATTTGGCAAAGATGCATTACATATTAGCAAAAAATTAGATGAAAAGAGAACTAGCAAATAAATAAATAAATATATATATATATATATATATATACATATAATCTGTAATTATAAATGGAATTTGTTCTTTTATAAATATAGTATAAAAGAGAAAAATCTTACGAAACTGGTGAAGGTGAAGATGGCACTTGAAAATCGAAATCGTATCTCCTCGAAATTGGCACAGACGGAGGTGATAGAGCCTGGATGTTGTATGCGTAAGATTTCCTTTGAAGAAGATCCGGCGTAATTATTTCCGAGGGCTGTGGCACTTGAGGTACTTGTACAAAAATTGGATATTCCATTCGCGGTTGATAAGGGATCGGCTTGGAAGAGATAACTTGATAATTTAATTTCAGTGGTTGATAATCGCAAGATTTAGATGGAACAAATTCCGTCACAGGCTTCGCAGGTTCCTATAAATTATTTTACAGATACATATTTATTGAACAATATTTATTGAACATATTTATTGAACAATATTCACTTAGGTCGGAATCAGGTCAGATTATGCATTGAAGATTGAAATTGAAGATTGAAAGATTGAAATTTAACCAATCCAAGCAATAAAAGCTAAAATTTCTTTGTTCTTATTGGTCAAATTTAAATCTTCAATGCGTAGTCTGATTCCGACTTTAGACATACTTATTACGTAGTAAAATTGAAGAATAGATGTATATATAGATATCGTTATTGTATAATACATAAGACAGTTAGCATGCCTGAAATGTTACACGTCATATAAGAATAATTAATTTTTGATTACTGATAATTCTTTGATGTTTAATAAGTTTGATGATTAAAGGTAATGTACGTTATAATGTGCATCTAAAAAAGATACTATATTATACAATAAGATATATATATGTATATATATA